ATAGAGGGCGGGTTTTCGACCTACGGATCATACAGCCAAAGTTATTAATATTTATGATATTTTATTTACTCTTCAGTAGGAACGGGCCACGACTCTGATCTCCTCAGATTCAGAATTATGTCTGAAACAACGAATCCTTCAGGTATTCGACAGGACCGCGACGTCTCTACCTGCGCAGGGAAACAGACAGGAAGACTTGGACGTACGTGTTCCGAGCGAATTTCGAATCTTTGATTCCTGTATTCGAGAAGCTAACCATGATAGACAGTATATTTATATTCATTTGTTTGTAGAAGTGATGCTTGTAACGCTCCGTTCCGTACAGGAGTGGACCGCAATCTGTCTGTATCCCGTTAGACTTCAGTCTGAGGTCCCGAAGCGGAGTCAGTGCACAAGTTCCGCGATCCTCCTGAGACACGTTGGCAGGCCACAGCTACACATCTCGCTCACAGAACTGACATATTGATCCCAGGGGTTCGGTATAGTCTTGTCCCCACCAAATGAACAATAGGCGGTCTTGGCTTCAAGCATTTCCAGAATTCACTCTTCTGCTATTGAAATTATCATCTTAGACGTATTTGCTTATCTGGGAAGACCGCAGTTCCTTAGGGATCTTAACGCATGCACCGACCTCACAATCCTTGGTCTCTTAATTCTTTGCCATTCCGTATTATCTGCCACCTCTCCTCACCGTGTTATTAATACACAGTGTATCATCTTAGATCAGCTGGTGGTCCGCGGGCCGTATGCTGCTCGAGACTATTTATAACGAGACCCGCGAAGTAATTGATTAATTTGTTAGTAGTTACTGAAACCTTTAATTAATCTGAAGGATTTAAAAATCGTGGTTTCTTTTCCTATGCTGCTTCATGTACAAATGACACGTGACACACGCTATTGACTGTAAAACCCTACCGTAAAACGTTTGAATTACAGGTCAACGTTGTGTCACGTACGAGATGTTGCAGGAGAGAATTTAAAATAACATATAACTCTAGAGTAATTTGTGCTGATTTTCATAAAATTAATGTTTGAGAGTACACTGTGATAATTTGTCATTTTTAAATGAGTATTGTTAGTCGGGCCACCATGTCGTAGCTTTAGGAACGGAATTTTATAAATAGTTTTTAGAAAGTTTAAAGGTAAAGTATAGTGGTAACTATATGTACCACTTGCTTTAACAAGTATTAAGTATGCGTTTTGTACTTATGGGTCTTGTATGATTATCACTTTAAACGTGTATTATTTATTTAACCAGAATTAACAAACTGATCTTCGTAATGGCGAAGTGTCGTGTTTTCTTCGCGGTAAGGACTGAATTCTTAAATATTATTTAGGCTTTTGTTAGTTGGCCGTGCAGAAATATGGAATAATTGTACACGAGTCGTGTAGTCGTGTTTGCAAATCGAAGTAACCGATATCCACGTAAAGCTACAATCGCCTCATGGAGCCTCGAATGTAGGTCACGGAACTTTGTGCGTGGAACCCACCGAAGTGGTTTGTCTGGTAAAGTCGTGTAAGCGAGGTCTGTACTCAACTGGCAGGCCTCACAGTATGCATTGCAATGTAAACTAGATCATCGGGACGCCGGGCGTCTCGACGCCAGTCGACTGTCTGCTCTACCATTGCGGCGGCAGCGGTCCGGAGTGGCAAGCGTCTGAACCACGAATGACGTCGCCCACATAGGTGGTGCCACTGTTGTGAAGCGTAGACTCCGAGCGATGAATGTTTTCTGGGGTGTTGCTTCGTGCAGTCTGGTAGAAGTCTGACGACGTTTTAGAGGTGCTGGTTGGTTCCGTCGTCAGGACGATGGCCTTAATGCGGGAAGCAGCAAGCATTTCTGAAACGTCGGTAAACTTCTATCAGACTAAAGGAAGCAACACCCAGAAGACGGCCATCTTGTACTCGCTGCCGTGAGAACCTCAAATCTTTTATAAATGAACTATTTAATTTTGGTGTTCATTACCAAGTAAGTAAGTAAAGTTTGTCCCACTATACGCCATGTAGGCGTCTGGGGGGAGTATAGCTCCTCTCTTCCTTGACCTCGGCACTAGATGGGGGTGAGTGGTCAGCATCACGCCCCGGCCGGCTTTACCCCCCGTTTATTTACCTCATTCTTGATTCTATGAAGTTGTCCAGAGTTTTTAGAGGCTGTTTAATGACCCTATTTAATAAAGTCTAATGAAAATGCCACTACTAATTAGCCGGTGCCACGGTAAAGGGTTGTAAGTCATAAAAGTTCAGGAAACAAAAATCAATTTTCGAAAAGTTGTCATAATTTATATTTATTGATTTTTCTAAAAATAAACTGTATAAATATGATTATATGAACTAAATGGTAGGAAATATATGTTGTAAAGTACCAAGCATACTCCGGTTTAACCTGCGAACTGCAAATTGGTCACGGATGAACTCGAATTATTCCGTAAAGAAGGCCTGAAGAATGTCGTTTGCTGACACCAGGTAAATCTGGGTAGCTGCCGAAACTACCGCAGGAGCTGAATTCGTATCGGGGTCAAGAGCGTAGCAAGTGAGGGCGCGGGGCGCTTCTGTAGTCTGACTCAATTAACTTGACGCCCGAGTGACGCTCGGTGAGGCCTAATTAAATGCGAGGTCAAACACGTTGACTTCAGTGGGCGGATGTGGTCAGTAAAGTAACGTAAACACACTTGCATTATCAAACAATATTGTCGCTCGGGGTCCACTTCATTCACTGTCAGAATTATCAGTAAGTATAATGATGATGATACAATTAATAATTTTGTCTTCATGTAATCTTGGATCAGATGATATATGGCGATGAATGTCTCCTCGGATGTTGCGCCGTGAAAATTTACCGGTTTTTCGGAGTTTCTTACTGTCTCCACCATCAGGACGATGAATGTTGATGAAATTGTGCCTTGGTCTGTGCTTCGTAGTAAGAACAGGGAGCAGAATCACTTGCCTTCTTGATTAAAAGCTCCGAACAGACTGTAGAAGAGATTTCAGGTTCTGACGGCGGCGAGTATAAAGAAGGCTGTATTCTGGGATTTTGCGTCGCAAACACTGGTAGAAGTTTACCGACGTTTAAGGTGGTCTTACAGCCTTCACCATCACTCACGGCGCAATAGCACGGAAAACAGATATCTTCATACTACCGCCTTGAGAACCTGAAGATTCACCTACAATTGCTTCTTACGTGGAGTACGGTCAGCACGTTCTGAAATTTGTGATTCAGTTGGTATGAAATGTCTGTGATACTTTGACATAAGCCGCTCTTGTGAAGAAAGGAAATGTCACAGCTTCAAGAAGTGGTAATATCCTGCTACAGGATGTTGGGTCTTGCTTCCGGGGAGACTCCGGTCCTCTCCGGAGCGGAAACTAGAGAACAATGAAGTTACGAGGCAGTCCAGTGGGACTAAAATGTGCTTAAAACTAAACTTAGAGTGTTTTGTTTTCTGTGTGTAACGGATGCATTTATATGTTACGGATTTATAAGAAACTGGGACCTTTGAACATTGAAAATAAAAAAAATATTTTGTACAGGCTTGTCACGGTTCAAGCCAGGCTGCGCTAGTTCAGACTTGATTATGTGCGGATATGACGTGTACTCGTGTTGTTAAAAGAGTAACTCGCGAGCCGCATATGGATCGGAGACTGATTTCACACTCAAATATTTACAGACGCCTAGACTTCCAGAGTTTTGAAGTCAAAATGCAGGGCGAACCTCCTCACTGACATTCCTGTACTCGCAAATTTAAAAATATAAGTCCTGTATTATTTGCTATATTTGCCCCTTTAATTATAACTAATACTTTTTATAAATTGAAGTAACATACAATTTATTAGATAAAATGCTTTCTAATTCTCATTTAATAGGACACCTTCTTCTCAATCAGTGCATTCCGTTGTGGACCTTGGTTTCCAGTGGTTTTCCTCCATTCCTGACGGTTCTTCGCCATTGTATGCCTATTTCTTATTACCATAATCCTTGGAACTGATTAAACTTAGTGAAGTAACTCATTCATAGTCGGATAGCAGCAAATTACATCCCACTGCCCCATTAGACTTTTCCCGCTCATCATTTTACTCTGTGCATGGCTCTGAGCTCTGCTGTATGTTTAGTTAATTATGCTGCTAATGATGTTTCACGGTGAGATTCAAGTTAAGCTACTACCTGTTTTATGAATGTGTCTAATTCAGACGAGTCAAAACGTGACCAGATTTAAGGGGATATAAAGATGTGTTCAGATCTTGGGATTTATTTTTATCTGCAAAATCTGAATAAACACATTAACTGAATTTATTCTTATGTCCTTTGATTGAAGAATTTTATACCTTGGATATATATTTTGGATTATCGACACCAAGTGTTATGATTGAGTGCAGTCATCAAAATTGGCTCTTTTAGAAGCTCTGAAATAGTATCTGATTTTCATTTTTAGGCGTCTTTATATATTATTGTGCCGAAACTTCTTTTAAATTAGTTTTTCATTGTTTTATAAACATTTTTGTTAGATGTGTAGACCACTTTGATTACAGTGGCCGCTCGGTGTACGGCGCTAACCAAATTTCTAAAATGTTTCATAATTTTAGAATTTAAATCTGAATTGGAACAAACCAGAAGGCCTAACCCGTAAAATCTGATTATTTAAGTCAAATTAACTTCCTCGGTATTTGTAAGAGCCAAATTTACATCGAGGATGACTGCGTTACTGGAATGTTCCGCCATGTAATCTGGTAGATATTAATAGACGTTTCAGAGGTTTTAAGCACTACTGAAACGGCGAAATATGCAAGGAGAGATACATCTTTATACTTGTCACTGTGAGAACTTATCTCATCTACTGATCCTGCTGGATGTTCTTAATTTTACGTTTCATGAACTTCCTAATCACGTGTGGTTTCAAGTATTTTGTAATATTTAGGTTTGTCATAAGGACACAGTGGAGAAACAACTTTGTAGAAATTCTGTGTTATACTGTCCCGCTGTACTTATCTCGTATTTCTTTTGTTCGCAGAGAGCTTCATCAGCCACGCCTTTAAGGTAAGGACTTAAGTTACTGACTGATAACAACCAGTGTATCAGTTTTACTTTCAATATTCTTGGCCGGTGACGTAATGCTGTAGTCTGTACATCCTCAACTATAATAAGGACTGAATTTTTATTGTGTATGTAGAGGAAAAACCGCCACGGTGGTCTAGCGGTTAGAACGCTGGCCTTGTAATCCTGGGGTCTCGGGTTCGATTCCCGGCGGTGCCCGAATTTATAACTTGTGTTGGGCAAGGCCGTGGTCTAGGCAACACGGAGTTTTCCTCCGGGGACTTCCCGGGTTTCTCCGTGGCATCCCAACAATTACTCCATTCACACACAGAAGAAGGCAATGGCAAACCACTTCTGGATCATCTGCCAAGAACGTATATGAACAGGTCCCAGTCCGAGAAAAGGATGGAAGGATCCTGTTCATATGGACCTGTCGTCAGACAGAACACTAAATAAATAAATAAATGTAGAGGAAACTAACGAATGAACGAGATTATGTTTCGAAGCGGAATTGAGTAACATGTCGTAGTAAATAAGCTTCCAACTGATTAAATAATTGATTAACGAAGTAACCAAGTGTCTAATTAAGTAACTAACGGATTAGCAAACTGACTAACTGCCCTGGTGATGGAGGAATTAAGCATCTCTGAAACGTGGATCAGTTTCCACGAGACACACTGCGAAACATCTGTCGTGAGAACCTGACAATTTCAGTCGATTAACTTGTTAATTCACTAAGTAACTGTCAGTCTAAGCAGTTAATTCATTGACCGTTTTCAACTTCCTCGCCTTCTTGGAGATTGTCGTTGTGGGAGGTCTCAGTGGACTCACTGATTTCCACGGTTATATGAAGGAACGAAGGCTGACTAGACAATCAGGAGTGTTTTAGCCATGGGGAAGGCGACAACTCTAAGGGAAGTTACCTTAATAGGAAACGAATGGCAAACGAGGCCCTGAGGTCGAAGTGAGGGCAACATTGAAACCTAGAAAGCTCTCGGCGAGCCAAAGCCTCGAGTTAGCTGGCTAACAAAGCCTGGCTGGAGCTGACTAACGAAGCATTTTATCTGTTCCGGTGTACCACTGAACCACGAAAATAAGACAGAAACGTTTTTATTTTTAAAACGTTAGCCGGACCAACACGGTTAACATGAACGCTTCACCTATCACCATGTCTCGGCCGTATTTCATAATAATCCCGCGATATTTTATTCGATGCTACGTGACGTGAGTATGTCGGCCTACAGAAGAAATAATTCGTTGATTGATGCGTCCGGATAATAAGCAGCCATAGACATGCTAAACGAATCAAACCAGCACTCGACTACTGTGGAACATCGCAGGTTACTCCAGTTTGGAGTGGTATAGGCTCACATAGTGACATGGCGTTTCCTAAGTTCTTTCTTTGCAACTCTGCGTTCCTCAGTGGTCTTAATTTTGATTTATTGTAAAGTTAATTACTCCGTAGATGTCGCAAACCACAGTCGGTAATTACTTTGTTCATATGTTTTGTTTAATAATCACCATGTAATAACCTTTTAAATTTGAAATTGTGGACCTTAAGGGGATAATATATTTTGTTATCAAACTTTTATGTGAAAAGTTAATTTAGGAGAATAGTGACGTTCAGTCTGAGCTCCACGCGAAGCAGGAGTTATTTATTTATTTATTATTAACTGCAAATGGGTTTTTACCCGGTGGCAGTTTAACCGAGACATACCAAATAAATAAATTTGCCATAGTGTAGACTAAGAGTGCCAGATTCCGCTAAATTCTTCAGGAGGTTAAACATGTGCAAAGACGACTGACATATTCCAGTTATGGGTTCATGTTATTCGTATTTTGTAAATCGCGCATGAAACCGGTCTTTAGTTTGACCTAGATTTTGGCAATGCAATTTACTTCACAGTAGATTCAATTGCTGTATCTCCATTACTCTGTCTCCGTCCAGTGGAGAGTCTGGTTTGTATCAATGCTTTTGCTTCTGACATCACAGTGTAAACTTTGCCTGTGCCTCACTTGTTTTTTAAGATTAAGAACGCGGTGATTAAACAAAACCTTTGCTGAGCAACAAATGCTATTTGTCCCTTGGCGCAGCCTTGTTATCGCTGTCTCGTCACTGGTCATATAATCCCCGGATTGAATGCTCATTCGAAAATCCACCTCCTGCCACCACCCCTCATTCCAACAGAGCTCCTTCTAAGCCTCAGTAAACCAAATCAACCCTTTTCGAAGGGGAAGACTTTAGAATGATCTATAAATACTTTCATGTAACAATTCCACTTTCGTCAGTTGTAAATAGTGGGCAGGAGCGTAACTGATTGGTGAATTATTAGTGATTCAGCTTCCGTTATTGAAATGATATCAATAGTTGGTTAATAATTCATAAATATTATAATAGACGTTTCGTTTGGAACTCGTAAATAATATATTAAAATGAAGACAAAATTAATACTCGTTCAAATCAGGATATCTAAAATTTGACATTGAAATGGTATTATACCGAAAAGTCATGTTGTTACACTCATTCAGAAATTAGCTATTTTGTTGACATAAATGTTTATTCCTATGCTACTAAAGCTCTTCTGTGTACGTACAATGATCATATGTTTACCGTTTTAAAATTTAGGAATAAGTAAAAGGTGTAAAAATATAGATTATAAATTGTATTATGCTATTGAGTGTAGTATTCTGTGTTATGACGTCGTGCAGCCGTGTTTGAAATTGCTCGCGTTTTTGAAGAAAATATCGCCTCCGGGGTTGGCAAGTTTTGATTTCCCGCTTCGGGAGGAGTTTATGGAATAATCTCAGATTAACTTTTACATTACCCCGCGAAACACTGGCACTACGACCGGGAATGATAATCGACCTTTGTGAGGTTAGAACTTGGCGGGGAAAAAAAAAAAACTTGTTGGTCGCATGTACATTTTATTTAAATGGGAAACGAATTCTGTTTACTCTTCGAATAGATCTGACGTAAAAACTTCGATTTCACAAGTGGTTTATTTTAATGGGAAATGAAACAAAAGTTTGTACATGTCGTGTTTCACCAATGTTAACATTGATGGGACATGACGCTAAATTTAGTATTTTTCTGCGTAAGTCCGGCCACAATAAGAACGGAAAACAAGGGAGACTCTAACAGAAAAGAAGCAAAGAGAAAATGATAGCATCTGTGTTAAATGAGGCGTGGACTGTCCAATCTATGATGCTGAGAAACGGTCTAGCCGTATGAGAGGGGCTTAATAACATAAACCGAGGCGCCACCGCTCAGTGCAATGTAGAGTCGGATATTGAAACAAAACAAGGGCTTGTCGCGTTTGCAGTTACAAATGATTAGAACTTAACGGTAAAGGTTAACACTTGGCGTAGTGTTGGAGATGTGAAAGGAAAGCTCCGTGCATTGTAGACCTAGGGGCTGTATGAAGGAGAATGTTCTGTTTCACGGTCCGTCCGCTTAACCCCCGGGGAAATAGTTCAGGTGATAAGTTGGTGAGAAGGCTTAAAAGAAACGCGCAGTGGTACGGAAAAGAAAAGAAAATCTGTCCTTGCTGTGGACGGAAACTTCTTCAGTCCGTAGCCAGTCACAATAGTGATTGTACTGTCTCGGTCGACCAGTTAAAAAGTGAAATAAATTTGCTATAATTTACTCCCTAAAATGATCTTATTTGATCAGATATGTCCCTTTGATTTGTGGTTCTTACGGAGACGCGTATTGAGCCGGGATAGCTCAGTCAGTATAGTGACTAGCTACGGGCTGGACGACTGGGGTTCGATCCCCGACGGGGGCAGAGGATTTTTCCTCTAGCCTCTGCGTCCAGACCGGCTCTGGGGCCCACCCAGCCTCCTCTACAATGGGTACCGGGGTCCTTTCCCGGGGGTAAAGCCGGCCGGGGCGTGATGCTGACCACTCACCCCCATCTAGTGCCGAGGTCAAGGAAGAGAGGAGCTATACCTCCACTCACCCCAAACGCCTACATGGCGTATAGTGGGACAAACTTTACTTTACGGAGACGCGTATGAAGATGGCTGTCTTATGGACTGTTTGTAGTACGGTAGAAATTTGCAGACGTTTCAGAGTTGCTTTCTGACTCCATCATCAGGGCGATGACTCATCGCCCTGATGATGGAGGCGACAAGGACCTGTGAAACGTAAGTAAACTTGTACCAGACTACATGGCGCAACACCGCGGACGACAGCCATCTTCATACTCACCGCTGTGAGAATCTCAGATCTTACTTTTTATATGTTGCCATGGAAACGCTTTTAAGAGATTCTCAGTCTTTTGGTTTGCGTTACTGACCGTAACACCACTGCCTCCTGCATCTGGCTAACAACAAAAGTGTCCCAGTGTCTTCTCTCATCGAGTCTGGCCCTCGACACGTGCAAGTTTCTCTAGTGGTAATGATGGAAACTCAGACATTCGACCAGTTTCCGGTTTTCTATTGTTTAAAAAGAAGAGTGCGGTTGACTGTGAGTGTCGCTAATATTTAATGACGCCAAATTGATATTAAGCTGTTAAACGGACCTCATGGCTGCTCTTGCGAGGTCTATCGGAAACCAAAAGGTTTTAACCCTCAGACCCACGGGATCGATGTCGAGACCTCTAGAACAATAGGCACTAGTGACAGTCTGAGTAGAGATGGTTTCGCCACAACGCGTGCGTAAAAGTAAACAAGCATTGTCAAGTGCGTTTTGGTATGTGATGGGTCATTATCTCCAGATCATCACGTTGCAGGAACAAAATGCACTATTCACTTTTTTTAAGTTGTTAGTGGTGTAAAATTCTGTGTGGAAGGTTTTCTAATGTTCTGTTCAATACCCAGTGAATATTAATACGCGGTTTCTTAAAAACGGCCACTTGAAAGACGAAGATGGAGATGAGAGAATTATATGAAGATCTAAATAAATTAGATAGTGAGGTTATGATGTGGTTACGTATTCAGTGGCTGAATACTTTGATACTAACGACGCTGAGAGGTCGGTTATGTCAGTACATAGTTCG